ATTTTCAGCCAGAGGACAATCATGAAACAGGAATGTGAAGGGGGACAGGGGGCGGGAGCCCGGGAGATCAGAGGGCAGGAGAGGGCGGGGAGCGGGATCTTTAATTGCCTACCTTGTATTGATGTCTTTAGTAGCGCTGGCAACGCACTGACTTGTTTGATTAAGTGCAGAAAGCCGAGCTTCCGTACAGCTAGCAACATTTCCATCTCGTTCCTGCCGGTGAGCCATATTTTAGCGGGCATTTTGATCATGCCTCTCTCTCTGGTTTTTCTTATTAAAAGGGAATGATAACTTTCCTCAGAAGCTTTTTCTTTCAGTGCTCTAAACTTTCATTTGGTGGATGTATCACCAATCACAATCATTATGGTTTGTGCAGCATTAGTCCGGTTCATGTGTGACTATCATTACATCACTGAGACATAAAGCCAAAGAAATAAGCTATTGGGATATCTTTAATATGGCTTGGATATAGCATTTTACAAGTGTCTATTACTCCGGTCAAAATATTAAACTGACAAGGATGAACCTTATAGGTATCAAGCAAAATGTATTGTCGAAGCCGTAAACTTCAGTCCCTTGTTTCGTCGATTCTCTTTGAATTTATATTTTTCTTAGCCTATTTTAAATTGTTTCAGTTTGTTTCCGATCATAGCCAGCGCACTTACAACACGTAGTGCTTTGCGCAGAGAGGCTAAAGTTGCGAAGACAATTATTACTGTAATTTGCTGGGTACCCGTATTACTGGAAACAATTTTATGATTAGTTTTACAGTCGCAATTAAAACTCCCACCAATTTCTTATTTTTTTGGATTGGTCATTTACCAAAGAAAATTATCCTGACATGTATTAGGAGGCAACGCAGAATATCTGTCATTCTACCTCGCATACTGACCTAAAACTAATAAAGAAATACCAAACGAAATTAGCAGTCAAATAAATCAAACACCATTCAGTATGCTGACCTAGCATTACTGGTACCGCAGAATATCTTTCAATCTACCTCTGCGTATTTCTCTATACTTGTAACGAAAATAAACAGAGAAATTGATATTAAAGATATTATTGGTTATTTACAAACACAGTTATGCTGACTCCGCATTAGTGGTACCAAAGAATAATTGTCATTCTACCCCGCATATTTCTCTAGGTACAATAATAGAGAGTTAATGGCTTTGTTAAGCCATGCGGATGATTCCGCTCGAGATCAATGTGAAACCTGGAAATCAAAAAAATAATAATAAAAGATGATGGGATTTTGCATTGGATATTCCACGAAATGGCTCTTCTTATCCACTGACACAAATTGTACATCAACATTAGAAATAAACAAAGTGATTTTAATCACTATGTTGGATATATACAAAGTGCAACCGAGAACAAATCCAGTGAGTTGCAGGTTGGAGGACTTGAACCTGGGACCGAAAAAATAAAAGTCCAGAGCCCTACCCATTCGGCCACACTGCCCCCTTGACTGGAAGTTCTTAGTCCTTAATCTCATCAGTTTGCTGTAATTCAAAACTTATTTGGTACTGGGTAACTAGAACTTCTCCTTCTTGGTTAGTGTTCTTAGTCTCCTGGCTGAACGGGCGACTGATTTTCTGTCTGGTCATTCAGAGGAACTGTGTCTTTGTCTCTCAACCTGTAGAACATAATTGACATTTACATTTTCCTCACACCATTCTGTCCTATGCGAACAAGTAAATTAACAAGATATTAACTTTTAAACATTAGGATAGTGCCTGAGGTTAAGCATGCATGTATCTATATCTCACTGGAAAGTTAAAATTTATAGAGACAACGAGTACTACGAATGTCAACAGTAGTCCTACAATTATTCTCGTTAGTAATGGTCATCGTATTAAAAAAATAAAAAAGACAATTCTATCGCACAAAACAATCCAGGACGCTTTAGCTGATGAGAGTAATAATTTCCCTAAAGCTGCGATAAAACCGAAAGAACTTTTAATAATACGTGTAGACAGTGTCTCTTCTTTAAAACAAAACATGTTTTGGATGAAACATCATCCCTCGTCAGTTGTATAATGAGAAATAAAATGAAATTATAAGATAAATAGTATAAAAAGTGAGATGTTAGCAAGTATAATTAAAAAGAAAAGAAACTATTTTAGTTAAGAAAGGAGACTAATCAGTATGAAAGGGATAAATTAAGATGTTTGACATGGAAATTTAAAGGCGGCTGCTCCCAAAGGATGTGTATGGCTTCCTTAATTTTCAATTGGAAGCTTGTGGAAGCAGAGTCCAGAGTTTTAAAATAATCTTTTGAACAAAAGGAGCGACAATTTTGAGAAACTCTCAGGTGCTTAAAGACGTGGGAATGTTTGTCAGAGGAGAGATGTTCGCGAATGCGAGTGGCAACGTGTCTTTTGGTTTCACCAACAGAACAGGCACTACAGCCTGCACATGAAAACTTATAGATAACTTGCGACTGCAGGCAAACCCGCAGGGATAGGATCCTTGATCGCAAACCGACTCTTAATTCTAAACGGGGTGAACTCGAACTTAATGTCAAGATCACTGCAAAATTTGCTGACTAATTTCTTGATTCTGCTTTGCATTGTGATAGGAAAAGGACCGATGCATAGTAATTTAAAATACAAACGATTTTCCTTAGGAGCAGCACTCTGAGAAGAATCGGAGGTGAAGTTATTGTTGAGAAATTTTCTGATAACATTCTCGATGACGTTAGAAGGGAACAAATTCCTCCTTAAAGGTTTTAGTAAGGTTATTTTTGTTAAGGTGAAAGCCGTCCCAAGTATAATTAATTTCAAACGTTAGTCTACCAGGGCGCGTACTAATCCTGATTTGTAACTGAAAGGTACAAAACTGTTCAAATTAGTGTGAAGACCGGTGAAGGTCTTCTTGTGAAACACCGTGGTGATAATGCCCTGATCGCTATTGTTATCTAAAAGAACATCTAACAAGGGGAGCTCGTGGTTTTCTTCCCTCTCCATAGTAAACTTCATGTTAGGGTGTAGGATGTTGATATAACTATAGAAAGATAAAGCATCCTCAGTTGTCCCTTTCATACTAATTAGTCTCTCTTCTTAGCTTAAAGAGTTTCCCTTTTTTTTTTTTAATTATGCTTGTTAACATCTCGCTTTGCTATACTATTTATTGCATAATTCTATTTTATTTCAATGGATGAAGTTTCATCCGAAACATGTTTTGTTTTCGTTAAAAAATATTTTAAAAATATTAAAAAAATTAACTTCAAAAGCACCGTGTGGTTCACCAAAGCGATATCTTACTTTAATTTTCGTGATCTTACAAAGCTTGACTATGCAGAATATTCTTGATAGCAATACTCACCCAAGCTTCAGCTCGTCAAACCCATCTCGGACATTCTGCAAACGCTTTGTGCTTTCAGTTACTTTATTTGACCATTCCGTTAGTTTATTTAATTCCTTATTCAGTTCTGACTTTTCTCTGGAAAAACGATCGTTTTCGTTTGTTAACCTTGAGGACCTTTCGTCAGCGGTCGTTTGTATTTCTGGTAATTTTGAGACGAATCTTGCAAATTGTCTCTTGATTTCTATCAAAATTTCTCGTGCAAACCGTGTCGTGTCGCCGACCTTCATCTGACTGGGCCCGAAATAATGCCTTATCTTTTGTCCGAATCCTCCAAATCCTGCAACTTTTTCCACCAGCTTCGAAAATCCCAGGGTACCTCCGAAGAAAGTTCCTCCGGCAACTGCTTTTCCAGAAATAGCGACAGCAGTAGCAGTAGCTCCTGGCTTTACCACCGCAACGAGACCTGTCATAGGAAAAAATTAAAGAATGGAAACCATCTCGTCTCAAGAAAATTGAATGAGTTCATGTATAAGTACAAGTCATAAGAATGGTACTACTTCTTGCCAGTAGCAGTAGCAATAGCAATAGTAATAACAGTAGCAATAGCAGTGGTGAATTTGTGGGTGGCGGTCGGGATGGTGGTGGTGGTGGTAGTATAGCTGTTGTTTTTGTTCTAATTTTCACAGTTCTGGTAAGACTATTTTAAAAAAATACTATTTTCTAATTTTCTCAAAGAGAGCCATTTTTCCTTCGTAAAAATCTGTTGTATGGCTTTTGAGGAGATGCCTCCATTCCTGAGAAGCTTATGGACAAAAACACCTTCACTTACCAGCACCGGCCCCTGCTGGTACCACTGCAGCAGATACTGTGGCAGCTGCAAAACCGAAGTACCAAAGTACTGTCCAGACGTTGTTGCTTGTAACGTAGGCATAAGGGTCTCTTCTATCGTCATAACTAGAATCTTCCGCTCCTCTCAGCTCTCTAGCTTCATAGGACGGCAACAATTCTCTCAAATACATTGCTAGACTAAGATCAAGATCACCCCTGCGTTGCTCATACTCTTCTTCTAATTTTACAGTTTGTTCATATAAAGCTGTATTGATTCCACCAATCTTTCTACTAAAAAAATTGTCAATAGCTTCATTCTCACTTTGCACAGTGCTGCATCTTTTTATGTCGTTGCGAAGTTCCTCTATCAATCGATCAATCTCCCCTTCAGTGAGGTGACGGTTTATCAGATAATTGAGCTTCTTCACCTCATGAATCACTGCATCAAGGCTACGGTGTTCTTTCTCCAAAGTGCTCATTACGTTATTTATCTCAGTCAGACGATCTTTACTGGAATTCCCCTTTCCTCGAAGATCCTTTGAACGCTATTGAAGATATTCTCGTGTTCTGAAGCGAGAGCTTTGGCATGTTCTATTAGAGCCACGCCTTTTTGTGCTTTAACTGATCCTGCACCCTTCGCTAAATCTCTCTCAAACCTCAAAAAATCCTCTCTTCCATCAAAGCCTTGCGGAGTGTCCTAGAAGACAATTATACGAAAACGAAGTTTTAATGAAGTGGTATTGCTTATCACGCGATGCACTCATTTCCTCCCTAATTAAAAAAAAAACAGTCCTCTTTAGGTGATTAGGTCGAATGTTAACCCAGCCAGATCATGTGGTGTGATTAACATAACTCATTTGGAATGCGAATGGGCGAGAGTGGAAAACGAATGCTGGACAGAATCAGCGCATCACAGAACCATTCGACTCCCTAAAACCCAAACTTCCACCTCTCAAGGCACGCCGACAACACCAGACAAGGTGGGAGTAAATTTCACTTTGTCTTATTGTGAATCTCAGCGTGGAACACATAACCCTTGTTTAGTTGAATAAGCACCGTGAAGCTAATTCATTTTGCGCAGTTAAACTTAAAGAGGGTTAATTTTTTTTCGGCGGCCAAAACAATCTCAACCCACCTTTACGTTTACATCAGTGTCTTAGGTAATAAAAATTCTACTTTCATTCAAATATATCAAACTTTTGCATATCTTCGTTACGTTGTTATTTTGCCTAATACTCATTTGGAGTAACATTGCTGAAAAGCTTTAAGGGCCCCTCGTTTCGCCATGCACGCTATCGACAGGCAGCTTACTAAGGAGGTCAGACGACGTGGTGGAACTAAAAAAACGGAACATAATACTGCGCCCAATTTACAAGTAGTTAACCATTTAAAATTTGTGTAAACGAAAATTATTTCAAAAGAAGTTTCCTGCCTGTTCTCAGATGAGTGCAACCTGCAACTCGGGTGTCAATTTTGTATTCTTGCCACATTTTGACGTCCTAAGGGATCAATTACTTAGCTGAAGTGCGACAACACGGATTCTTTTGTTGTCAATGTGTATATTTATAAATTGTAAATCTGTTTTTGCACCATGCAGAACTCTTTCGCTTTTCGAAGATAATTTCCCTCTCCAGTATGATTTTTTCACTTAAAAACGTGCGCATCTTTGTGCTCGCTACTGGACTCTCCAATGCCTCAATTTACCTCGCTTCCAGGTTTCAGGTAATTAATCAGATTCCGAGAATACGATTCGCAGAAACCTCACCTTTGCTTTGGAAAAATGCTTTGCATCAACGAAATAAACCGGGCATTCGTCATTGACGAATTCCTGAAAATATCCTTTGTAGACATTTCGTATTTGTTGCCGCTTGCCTGCTTTGACTGTTGTCTTTATTTTCTCCTCTTCTTTTTCATCTTGTAAGTTTTTATCCCATTTTGTAAAGACGCCAAATTTGAGCTTGAATTTCATCTTGTTTAGGAGATCTGCAATCTAGAAAGCGAAATAAAATAAAGCAGGGAACAAATTTGTGTTATTTGTCAATTCATATATTTAAACTCTGTCCTCTTTTTGGTTTCTTTTGGTTTTTTGACGGTGTTTGTCGAATTGATAATTCGTTTACTTTGTTTTTTACTTTTTTTCTTTAATTGAAAAGACAGCTGGAAATGTGTTCAACAGAGAATTGTGAGCTGAGAACTTTGTGGATGCATCAACCTGGTTGAGTTATTGATTAAATAGAAGCGAAAATACTCAAGGTGTTGTGTTTTGCCTTCATTTCCAAAATTCTTTTGATGGCCTGGAATCGCTAATGAGTGAGAAAACACTTCTCTTCTTCCTCAACCTAAGTTCTTAAAAACGATACACGTGATCGATGCAAGGTCGTTCAGCAAGGCTCCATGATTAATTCTAATGGTGCCCCCGCACTTAAGGAATTATGATAATCCATCTAAGTTCTGCCAGTTGAACATACCAGGAGCGATAATAAAGTAACGTATACATTTCCTTACATCTTTCATGGAAGGTGACATGAAATCCATCACAGCAACGAGTATCTCTGCCTCCTTGCATGAGTCGAAGACAACTATGTCGCCATCGTAGTTCTCTTTAAAACCGGGTGTATCTATCAAAATAATATTTTCTGGCAGATTGCAGAGCTGGCGAGGCCAATTCACTTGTATGACACTGCGAGAGTCAATCCTGAGCTTCTCCCTTTCTGCAGTTTCTGACTTACCAGACATTTTACTCAAAAGGCCCTTTACGGCCTCTGCGCTCTTATGGTCTGTGAGTGGCTCTTGACAACCTACTTTAACAATACTCCACTCTTCATCAGCCGTAGGGCGAACCTGAATTTTGCACATCGTCGTCTGAATTTTATCAACGGGAAGACGGCTGTCTTGAAGTAAGGCATTTATCAAGGACGATTTGCCACTGCTTGTACGTCCCACAAACACAATGGTTACATCTTCAGATACCGCCTTTTCAAGTTCTCCTTTCAATTCATCCACTATTTTCTCTAAGTTGTCGTGAAACCGCTTGATTTCCTCTGGTTGGCTAGGAATTTTATTTTTGTACTCCTTATAGAACTGATCACAGACCTTTTTAACTTCTTCCATTACCTTCGTCAAACTCTCAATATTGTCCCTCAATTCGTTAATTTTCTTGGCTGTTTCCTTGAAGCCATCCCACTTCTTTTTGCTCGTCGATACAGCAGATGCTGCGGTTGCCATTTCTTGATTTCTGAGAAGTAAAAAAAAGAACTGGCCGTTACTCCTCCCGTGGAAAACAGTTGTTAGAGTTAATCCTGTAAGTAGAGTAAAAATTTTCTTGGAAAACCATTGACAGGGTTCATTCAGCGATGTGCGTTTCCAATGGCAAGCTTTAATTTTTTTCACCCTGTTTAAACAGAACTATTCCTGTACTTTCATGTACAGTACGCTCGTTCGTCATAGTGGCGGTCATCTCGATGGAGCTCGATGGTTGCAACTTCCAACGTAGATGTCATCATCTGTGGTGTAAGAAGAGGTCGTTTTGTCTTTTCAATGTTGCAATCCTTGCCGCGAATGCAACTGTTCTTAATTTCAAAGGCGGCTCCACGTTTCGCAAGTTTTTGTATTTGCAAGCCTTGAGCTCTGTATTCTGTTATTGCACTGCAATTGTTACTTATGTAGATAGTAGTTAATGTACTGTATATAATATACGATTTTATTTTTAATATTATTTTTTTTCTTTCTAGGACAAATTAGCTGATGTGATGTGATTTAAGTACGTGTTTTCATGAGCCATAACTTGGCTAGTCTCAGCTCCTCATTACAAACTCGTTGAAATTTTATACATGTTCACTTTCCATTCCTTTTTGACCGAGATGATCTTTCGGACCTCTCGATGCTGAGAGTATATTTTGTTTGAAATATTTCAATTTTGAAACACTGGAAGATAAATGTTTACAAGCGAAGGAATAAGCTTTGGACTTCACCATTCTTCAATTTTCAAGAAGGATTGAAAACACTTCTGAAAATGGAGACCGAATTGGCTGACTTCACATAAAACTTTGTGACATTTGGAAAAGCCTTTGGTTCAGCTACTGTTATTTAAGGACTTATATGTCCGAAAGGAATTGTTATGTCAAAGAGTTTGTGTAATTCAAACAACTTGCAGAAAACGCTACACTGCACAACAATTTCTGATTGTCTCCTGAAATTTTTTAAGCCGAAGCATGCAAACACCTATGCCTAGATATATTTTTATTCTTAAGGCAGGTTAAGTACTTCTTTGAATTACTCTTTTGTCTCGAAACACTTCTAGGCTATTTTGTCTGTTTCCATAGATAGTTTCTGGGTATGGAGCGATTCTAAGTCGACTTAGAAGTGACTTGCTTGGTTTTTAATTTCTCTCGGCTTTTGTCAGGTTTTTGATACTTTGATACTGCGTAACTAAAACTCCTGATCGAAAGGTTAACTTGTCTGAAAATAACGGCTGGTAAAATGAACGAGAAGCGGAGTTGATATGCCAGGCTTCCAAACAAAGGCGCCACCACCCAACTGTATGGTTGGTTGGGCAAGTGTGCTCCGACAAAGCTGAATTTTCCTGTTTGCCAAAGAAGACCGCTTTTTGATGCTCTTTCAAACGTGTAACAAACTGACGTTTGGTCCGTCCGATATACTCGTAATCACAGTCATTCCACGCAATAGGATAAATATCGTCAGTTCTTTTTATTGTTGCCTTGTTTGAATGATAATCTACATTTTAAGCATATATAAAGAGGGCAGCGTAAGACCGTATATATAGAGGGCAGACCAAGACCGTTGCGAACAATCGAATGGTCCTCTATCCAAGCTTAAACAAAAACGTCCCACCGCCCTCGGTTACTCTCTGAATTCTGAACAAAGTTGTCACTCAGAATTCCTCCTTGTATGCTTCTGTTTAAAAAAATCCAAACATATTTCCTTGAGGCTGACTCTTTGAGCTGGATTTCCGCTTTCAGTTTTTCTCTAAAAAACGGATTGTCCAGTTTGTGTAAAATTTTGGTTATATAATAAATCTTTTATTGTAGGATAACTCAGCTCTTTTTCAGTGATTATTTTTTTTCGTCAACCTCAAATTCGGCTCGTCCGTAGATACACAATTCAATAGAGATTGGGAAATATTCGCCCTCTTCTAAATTTAAGTAAATTTTTTTGTATTTTGCCATGAAAGCTCCTGGTGACTTGTTTTGGCATATCAGGGGAGACATGCAAGCATATCTCTGAACGTTTTGCGTATTACAATGCATGCTACCAAATATCAGTTGAAACCCTGACAACAAGCTAATTTTCGAAGCCAGCAGAAAGGAATAAAAAAATAATTAGAGACGAACAGTAAACCAAATCCATTTAGGAATACTAACCCCTCTACATTCTTAGGAGTCAATCAAGTTCGTTCGTCCGCTGGAGTTTGCCCTTGATTTTTTAATCCAGAAATAAAATGACACATTATCTGTGAGAGAAGTAATATTTCATAAACGAGGGCGAGTGTTTCATCGAGGTTTCCAAACACGAGAAAACTGATGAGAGCACGAGGCCGAAAGCCGAGTGCCTCTATTGTTTTCGAGAATTTGGAAATCCTGATGAAACACGGCGAAGCTCGAGTTTATGAAATGGCTTCTCAAAAGGGCATAATTTATCAACAATAAACACAAAAACGAAAGACCACGTAAATAGTCAGTTTTTGTCTTCTTTTGTTTCATTATCGCATGTGCTTAGTTGTTAGTCAGTGTCATGAAAGGTGTTGTGTTTTTTGACGACTTCGGCTTTTTAATTAAAAGCAGCCACAATTTGTTCGACGTTCTCATTTGGAATTTTGGGAAAGGGAAGAAGCAGCTACGGAAAGGTCTTCCCGGTTTCGACCGCCGAAAAGTTGCAAAGAGGAAGTTTATGCTCGAACGTTAAAGTACTCAGTACAAAGATGGCTGTTGATGTTTTCCGAAATTTGGATATCTAATCACGCGTGTTCGGATCTGTTCTTTACCGGGTATCAAGAGGCATCAATGTGACCTAAATGAGGCCACACAATTAGTTAATTACCTCATGCATTATTAACGTTTGAGAAGGTCCACTCATGACCATAGTATGTAGCTTTAGAGGAACTTTTCATTACTGCACAACATCATTTTCCAATAGCGTCCACTCACACAGGCACGCTCGTGTGAGATCGGCAAGGAATCTTCTCCCGACAGCTTGACTTCCAAGAGCGAGAATCAACAACTCTTCAATTAAAAATTACGTAGCGGTAGCTGTATTCAGAAGGGCCGCATAACGGCTCTGAATTCTAGGTTGGGATGATCTCAAGCTCTTTGACGCAAAATGATTTCTGGGGTCAAATATTTTCTCAAAACAAAAACATCATTGAAATTTAAAAACTTATGCACTACTTTTAGCACGGGATATATTGGTCAAACGATTGACATGCTGTAGCTCTCTTAATGTTAGACAACGCATGAGCAAGAGGAAGGAATACCTGTTTTTATCCAGCTCTTCTTCGTGGATTGGTAATGGAGACGTTTTCTGTATAGGGAAAGAAGAGACAAACAGCTTAGCAAACTCAGAAAATAGATAGTCGAAGGCTTTTGTTTACAGGTATAGCACAATTTTAACGCATTGAACAGAAATAGAGGTTGTGAAATAACGCTAGAAGGTAGTGTTGAAGAACATATGTCTCGCATGCAAAACAAAAAACCTGCCGCATTACACATATTTATTAGTAGCCTGTTACACAAGATAAGGATGATTCAAGAATATATCGTCTAATTGACATTAAACAATAACTAAATTGGAAAAAGTAATGTTAACAATAGAAATATAATAATAATTTCAAGTGCTTAGGATACAAAATATTTTTTGGCGTTTTCTGGTTAATAGCTGTATTAATCGAACTTAGCGCATAGCGAGTTCTCCCGAGGAAACTGTGAAGACACGTCCGGGTAACTATGGTGAAGAAAGGCGAAATCAAGAAGAGAGGACGAACGTATTGCGTGGCCGGAGCGCCAAATGATGTTAGGTGCAGTAATTATACACATATACTGGGTATTTCTATACACTACTTTCCAAAGGATGCAGCTGTATGGTCAAAATGGAGACGTTTCGATCGTCGATATCGAGGAGATTTTACTCTTCAAAGTCGTCGGCCTTTGCTCCGTCCCGGCTTCGAAGACTTCGAACACATGTAACTGGACAAACCGGGGGAATATGGCCAACAAATGCAACTAAAAAGAAGCTGATTCAGGGGCCTGTTCCCACTCCGTACAAGATCGTTCCTCATTCTGTTTGGCTGACATTTCACAGGCGAAGAATGGTGAGATTCAAATTGTTGTATATTTCACGCGCTTGAGATTTACTCATAATCCTTGTCTTTCCACATGACTACATTTGCACTTTTATTATCGTGTGAAAATCCTACCAATTGTAGTATCCCTCGTATTTTGATAACAGAAATAAATCATTGTTATAAAGGTCAAGCCTTTTCCTGAGCTGATCGATGTCCTGAACAGCGCGAAACCCCTGCCGGATACAGGCATAAACACAAGCCAAAAGGGGCCGTGTATTCTCCCAACATAGGTTTCCAAAAATCCACCCCACGAGCCATCAATTCTTATCACTGAATTAGATGTTCACGAATCTATGCACTGTGTGAAAGTCGATGCATACGAAATATTCATTTGCAACGCTGATGTCAGTTATTTGCCGGAGAGCGAAATATGAACATTTAACACGTAAAATCAATAGAATTTACTTACATCTTGTGTGTCCGTTGTGGTTTCCGGCGTTCTTTGCCGTTTTAAGCTTGCTTTGCCGTCACTGTTATTCCTGTTATGAGACGAAGTCAAGGCTGCACACTTCGATTTCGTTGTATAACAGGAATAACAGTAATGGCAAAGCAAGCTAAAAACGGCAGAGAACGCCGGAAACCACAACGAACACACAAGATGTGAGTAAGCTCTATTGATTCTACGTGTAAAATGTTCATATTTCGAGATATTTGTCGTTGTAAATCGACCATATTTCGTTCCCCATACTATCCTTGTAACGTGTTTAAATCAGTCTTGACAGTTCCCCTCCTAAGTTAACACCGAGTCACCCAACGCGTGACGCCTTCATGAATTAATCGTTTGCTTTTTCTCGAGACGTGAACTTGGGACGCCTTTGTTCACAAGAATCTGCACTCGAACTATCTCAAGAATACTTGCATCTCTCTG